GCCAAATGCTGTGACTTCTCCCTTTACATCCATAATATCTGACCCTTTTACTCCAGGCTCCATGGCACAATTCCTGGTCACCACCCAGCTGGACCTCAGTACCAATGTTTCCCACAAGGCCCAGCTGCAAGCACCACAGCCTGGCTAGCTGGTACCGTATCTCCTTAGGTGCCATGGAGACACCCATTAAGACCACATCTCATCCTCTCTTAGGTTACACCTGATGACCCCATTCTCCTTGAAGGTTACTCCCTGTCCCTTCTGGTGGGATGTCCCTGTGGTGTGACAGCCCTGGCCCACCAAAAAGGTCCTAGACCTCTCCGGCATATGGTTCTCCCAGGGCAAGCTCACCCAGGAGCCAAACCCTGAGAAGGACCCCTGCTCTCAACCCAGCTATGCCCCCTATGCCACCAGCCTGCCAGCCGCTGTTCAGAACAAACTTACACTTCATCTTATTTCCTTGGACAGCAGAAGTGAGGTCAGTGGCAGTAAGAGAGCAAGGAGAAAAATGCAGTTACCTTAGAAACAGCAAAACTATTTATGCTTAGAAGATGCAGTTAAGAATTTCTTAAAATTTCATTAATATTTTGGGTAGAGCAATGACATGTCTTACTTAATGAATTGATTACTAAGAAAGACATTTTCCTCCAAATTCCAAGTTTCTAGCAGCACTGCGTATGAGCACAGCCCTGGGCGGCAAACTTGGAAATAAGGACAGGGAAGTCCCAGGGCATAGAGGAAATCTAAAGAATTTCCCAGTCATAGATTCTTTTTCTTAAAGTAATCACAAATACTCAGTGGTAAGCCAATACACACTCAATAGGTCTCACTTGCTGAAACATTTCCAACACTTCTTTCAAATCCAATTCTCAAGTCACTAGTCACACACCCACTTAACCATGGGGATAGGTCCTGAGAAATTCATTCGGCTGTGGGCAAATTTCATTGTTGGGAACACCATGAGCACCCTTACACAAACCTAGAAGGTATAGCCTATGGCTGTAATTGGATGAGCTGTACTTCTCTTAGGCTGGCAGTCAGGGGGTTTGTTTACACCAGCCCTGACAGATGGCTTTTCTTTTTGTAATGCAAGGCCTGATTTTAGTCTTGATTGGCAAGGCACCCACTCCAAGGAAGACTATCTAGAATAAATACATTGCCAGCCACACACTAAAGAGTCAGGCGGCACCCCTGCACCCCACTGAGGCACCTTTGGTTTAAACATCTTGGTTGATTTTGATAACTGACCATTTGGGCTACTAGGTTTTTCCCTTTCCCATGCTTTAAATTCTCACTCTTCTGTTTTAAATTCATCAATAAGAGCCCAGGAACCCCCAGCCATCTCCTACCCCCAATCCCAATAAAATCAGAACCCCAGGCTCCTGCACTATGTATTTCTTTGCCCTCAACCTTGACATGTGCCCCCTGGAGTACCTAGGGTCTGTAAGTAGTAAACTTTTTCTTCTTCAGAACCTCCTGATGGCTATCACTAAAGGGCATCTTGCAATCATAATAAAAACCACAAGGGTCAGTCCAGTGTTAACACTGGTTTAGCAAGGAGAGATGTCTGTGGAAACCACATAGGTGAGTGCCCCCAGGCATTTTTAGCCATCGCATTGCTACTGCTAGACTGAGACCTGCACAACACAGTAATCCGCTGCTCTAAAACATTTCCAAGGCTCTGATGCCACTAGGCACTCAGCAAGAGGAATTTTTCAGCTCCGCTGTGTACAGTCTTATGGGACCACCATTGTACATGTGGTCTGTCATTGATGAAAACGCTGTGATGCGGCACATAGCTATACCAGGTAAGGCCAGAGCTTGAGGTCTGATCTAATCAATGAGGTGTCTGTCCTTTTGGTATCTGAGTTGTAAGCACTGAAACAAAAGGAATCACGCCTGTGTTTTGTTTCCTTTCTAGAGTGCATACAAAACTGTCCCAGACTCACTAATACCGAAAATAGCTTGGCTCACATAAAAAAAAGCCCCTTTGAAGATAATATTTCTAAACAAGCCCATCAGCAAGGGAAGGCTTTTTTGCTTTGTTTATTTTCAGAGGTAGGACAGAAAAAGAAAGCACAGCAAAAGATTTGTATGCATTTTTTCTTTCCTTAAAAAAAGGGGGGGGGATATAATATTTCAGGAACTTTCCTTGGGGAACACAATAGCAGCTTCATTCATAACTATTCGCTCAACTGTGATTTACAAATTCCCTCTCCATTTCTTGCCAAGATCCCTCTCCCATCCCCTGACCTTCATAATAGCTGCAGTTGGATTTCCTTCCTCAATTCAGTTTTCCCAAAGAGAACTCTCTATCTTAAAATTGCACAGTTGTCCTAAAAGTCTAAACAAAGGAAGTTCATAAAATAGATTAATTTTCATTATTCAAATATATTTTGCAGAGCTAACCTGCAATCTACTCAGCAGTACTAATTCCTCTAGAAAATTAACTCCTATAGTTTAAACAGTGAAATTTCTGGCATCCAAGAGAAACTTTCAAAGCCCATATGAGTAGCAGACTTGTCTACACAGCCTCATTTCAGCAAAATCACCACAGCAAAGAAACTATCAACTTAGCTTTCAGGGCCTACCCAAGAAGAAAACTTAAAAGTCCACTTAGTGTTATTTAAAATGGTAGAGGAACGAAAAGCTTAGCTTAAAAAGCTCACGATTCAAAAACATCACAGCATAAATAACCTAGTACCTTAATCATTTAGACTTGGTTTGGTTTCTGACAGTAACAAAAAGGATTTCCTCTACCCCCTCGTCCCCCCAGCAAATGCCCTTTCATGGGTCAATTTCAAAAGGATATGTACACACCATGTAAAAGGCAACTTCTAAGGTGGCCTCCAGGTGGCCCAGCCTTCTAGAATTCATGCCCTTATATAATTGCCCCTTGCGCATAGGCTGTATTTAGTAATTTGATTCTAATGAATAAAATTCACCAGACTTTGGAATGCCGCTTCTGAGAACAGGTTACAGAAAGACTCTGGCCTCCGTTTTACTTGCCTTTTCTTGGTCTCGTTGGCTCCCTCTGACGGAAGCCACTACCATGTTGGGAGCTGCCCTACAGAGAGACCCATATGTCAAGGAACTGAGGAATGCCTCTGGCCAACAGCAGCGAGAAATGAAGTCCCCAGTCCAAACGCCCACAGGAACGGAATCCTGCCAACTCCATGAGTGAGCTTGGAGCCCGTCTGCCTTGCCTGAAGCTTGTGTGAGACTGAGAGCCAGAGGACCCACGGCTAAGCCCAGATTCCTGACCCTCCAAAATCATGACATAAATGTTTGTTGTTTTAAGCCCCTAAGTTTTAGAGTAATTTGTTACACAGTCAAGGATAACTGATACATATGCCAGACATGCTCTCCCTCCCAACACAATTATGATTAGCTCCTCATGACATCATCTAAACCCTTTTGCCTATGGAGGAACACACCCCTAGGGTGCAGAGTCACTTTACAAAACAACTTTCTCTCTTTTTGGGCCATAAAAGTATGCCTTTTTCATTTGCCTCTCCTTGCCCTTAATATTAGTACTGTGATACTTAACAAATCTATATGCACAGGCTTCATAATTTTATAAACTATGAGCAATAATTTCAGCCATAAATCATATTAATACACAGGTTACCTCATCCTCTTTTCATTCATTCATTCATTCACTGGAAAATACTCTATGCCATTCTCTGGATATATTCTAATTCACTGTGGTATTATTAAATTATCTAGGATTCTCAGCTTCATAACCCATTACATACAAGGCAAGAAGGACTTGTATCACCTAACTGCAATATAGAATTTTCCACTGAGACAATGGTTAAATTTTACCTTTAGACTGATAGTCTAGTCAAATCACCCAGAATCCTGTCTACCATGAATCTAACCCATATTCTACTTGTTACCTCCAGGAGAACCAAAATGTGAGAAATGGACTACAATAAATCCTTATTAGTAACAAATGATAATCCAAGGCTGAGGATTAAGTAATTCATTCAAGTATGTGAAGGATCTGATGTCATGAGACCTTATGTAACAGGAGTATTTGACCTAGATGGGGATGTCAGGGAGAGAAGGACTCACTGCAAAAGTGAGCTGCGATCTGAACACTGAGAAGAGTCCGACTAGATAAAGAATAGGAAAAAGGTCCTGTGTGGGAGGGAACATGGAAATGAAAGGGGGTCAGTGTGGCTGGAACACAGAACAGAAAACAGGGCACAACATGAAACTGGAGAGGCTGTGAGGACTGGATTATGTGGAGCCTATAAATGAGCTTGGTCTTTTTTTAAAATTTTATTTTATTGTTTAAAGTATTAAAAATAGTAGTACATATGTCTCCTTTTTTTCCCCATTGACCTTCCCCCCCCCTTACCGTCCCCCCCGAGATCATATGGTATTTTTCTTTCACTGCCTGGCTTATTTCACTTAGCATAATAATGAGCTTGGTCTTTATCCTAAGAATATTGAGAAGTAATTGGCCACAACAGATCAGGTTTTGAAAAGAGTCATCTGACTATGATACAGATAAAAGACTGAAGGGGACCAGAGAAATGTGGAAACCAATTAGAGACCACTGCAGTAATCTACCAAGAGATGTTAAAAGCCTTCAGGAATTTGGTGGTGGGATAGAGAGGTGAACATCTGAGAGATATTAGGATGAAGATGGGCTAGAAACAGGGAGATGCTCACACATGCACATACAGAGAGATTAACAGAACAAACAAAGGTCAAGGAAAGAATCTGAAACTCTTGAGTAAAAGCTTTAACCAAATAGTGAGCTTTTCTGAGCATAACATTATTAGTTGCTTGATCTTCAGCTTCCAAGATGACCCTACAATGCATGCTCCAAAAACATCTGTAAAATGAATAGTGTTTAGATACCTCACGTATCTTAGGAATACCTTCTATATGCATTTTATCTGCTCAATACCACTTAATCTTATTTCACAGCTTTACTATTTTCCTCTCCAAGTCAGTCTGATCAAAGGAACTTTAAATGACAGCTTTAATGAGATACAATTTATATACCACACAATTCATCCTTTTAAAGTATGTAATTCAGTAGTTTTTAGTATACTTATAGAATCATGAAACCATCCTACAGTCATTTTTAGAGCCTTTCTGTCCCTGCAACAAGAAACTCATACACATTATCAATCACTCCCCCATCCACCTATCCCCTAGCCCAGTGATGGCGAACCTATGACACACGTGTCAGAGGTGACATGCGAACTTTTTTCGGTTGATTTTTCTTTGTTAAATGGCATTTAAATATATAAAATAAATATCAAAAATATGTCTTTGTTTTACTATGGTTGCAAATATCAAAAAATTTCTATATGTGACACAGCACCAGAGTTAAGTTAGGATTTTTCAAAATGCTGACACGCCGAGCTCAAAAGGTTCGCCATCACTGCCCTAGCCTTTAATATTAGGCAACAACTATCTATTTTTTGTATCTAAATATTTGCCTGTTCTGGACATTTCATGGATTTCCTGCCCTAGCCGGTTTGGCCCAATGAATAGAGCGTCAGCCTGTGGACTAAGGGTCCCAGGTTCGATTCAGGTCAAGGGCACATGCCTGGGTTGTGGGTTTGATCCCCAGTAGGGAGCATGCAGGAGGTACCCAATCGATGACTCTCTCTCACCATTGATGTTTCTATCTCTCTCTCCCTTTCCCTTCTTCTCTGAAATCAATAAATATATTTAAATGGATTTCCCATATGTCCCTGCCCCCACACAAGCATAGTATCTCCTATTATCAATATCCCCCACCAGAGTGGAACATTTGTTATAACTGATGAACCTACATGAACACATCCCAATCCCCCAAAGACCACAGTTTACACTATAGTTCATCTTGGTGTCATACATTATATGGCTTTGGACAAATATATAATAATATTTATCTACTGTGGTATCATACAGAGTATTTTCACTGCCCTAATAAACCTTTAGATTCTGTCCATTCAACTTCCTTTCCACAGTCACTGATGTGTTGTGTCCATAGTTTTGCCTCTTGCAATAATGTCATATAGCTGGCATCATATCGGATGTAGCCTTTCAAGATGGGATTCTTTCACTTCATAATATGCACTTAAGGCTCTTCTTTGTCTTTTCTTTTTGCATGGTTGATAGCTCATTTCTTTTTTAGTGATCAAGAGTATTAAGCCCTAACTGGTTTGGCTCAGTGGATAGGGCATCGGCCTGCAGACTAAAGAGTATTTCACTCTCTGCCTGTACCATAGTTTATTGATCTATTCACCTAATGAAGGACATCTTGGTTGCTTTAAAGTTGTGGCTATTATGAAAAAAAAGCTTCTATAAACATCCATGTACAACTTTTTGTGTGGACATACACCTTCACTCTGTTGGGTAAAGAGAAACAGTACAATTGCTGGATCATATAGTCAGAGTATGTTTAGTTCTGTAAGACATTGTCACACTGTCTTCCAAAGTGGATGTACTGTTTTGCATTTCCACAAGCAATGAATGAAAGCTCTTGTAGCTCCACATCCTTGCTAGCAGTTGGTGTTGTCAGTGCTCTAGATTTTGCCTATTCTTACAGGTGTTTAGTGATATCTCATTGTTGCTTTATTTCCAGAAGCTGCGGGACTTGTCTGTGCCGGGGCATTCACAGTGTCTTTCCTATGTTTGCCATTTGTATGTCTTCTTTGATGAGGTGTCAGGTAAAATATCTTTGGCTCATTTTTTAATCGGGTTATTTTCTTATTATTGAGTTTTAAGAGTTCTTATATATTTTGGGTAACATTCCTTTCTCTCAGTCTGTAGCTTTTTTCATTCTCTTGACACTTGTCTTCTGTAGAAAAGAAATTTTTAATTTTAATGAAACCCGACTTATCAATTCTCTCTCTCATGAATCATGCCATGGGTGCTATATCTTAAAAGCCATTGCCATAGTTAAGTTCTAGGTTTTCTTTTTTTGTTACCTTTAAGGAGTTTCATAGTTTTGTATCGTATACATAGGTCTGATCTACTGGAGTTCATTTTTGTAAAGGTATTAAGGTTAGTGTCTAGATCAGCCGTGGGCAAACTACGCCCCGCGGGCCGGATCCGGCCTGTTTGAAATGAATAAAACTAAAAAAAAAAAAAAAGACCATACCCTTTTATGTAATGATGTTTACTTTGAATTTATATTAGTTCACACAAACACTCCATCCATGCTTTTGTTCCGGCCCTCTGGTCCAGTTTAAGAACCCATTGTGGCCCTCGAGTCAAAAAGTTTGCCCACCCCTGGTCTAGATTCATTTTTCACATGTGGATGTCCAGTTGTTCCCGCACATTTTGTTGAAAAGACCAGCTTTGTTCCATTGTATTGCTTTGCTCCTTTAAAAAAAAATCAATTTACTATATATACCGGGGTCTATTTCTGGGCTCTGTATTCTGTTCCATTGATCTATTTGTCTATTGTTCCAACAATGCTACACTCTCTTGATTACTGTAGCTTTATAATAAGTTTGAAGTTGGGTCTTCCAACCCTGTTCTCCTTCACTATTGTGTTGGCTATTCTGGTTCTTTTGCTTCTCCATATAAACTTTTAAAACAGATTTTAATATCTACAAAATAACTTGCTGGGATTTTTTTTTAATCCTCACCCAATGATATTTTTCCCATTGATTTTTTTTTTTTTTTAGAGAGAGAGAGTAAAAGGGAGAGGGAAGAGACAGAGAGAGACGGCGTTGGGGGGGCGGACATCGAGGTGAGAGACACATAATCATGTCACCTGTGAACAAAAACAGTTTATCTTCTTTTCTAATAAGTATACTTTTTGTTCCCTTTTCTTATTTTATTGCATTAGCTCAATCTTCCAGTATAATGCCGGAAAGGAGTGGTGAGAGGAGGCATCGTTACCTTGTACCCGATCTTAGTGGGAAAGCTTTGAGTTTCCCACCATTAAGTATGATGTTAGCTGTAGGTTTGTTGTAAAGCAGCCTTAATCCAGTTGAGGATGTTTCCCTCCATTTTTAGTTTACGAAGTATTTTTTTTTATCATAAATAGGTATTGTATTTTTTTCCCAAATGGTATTTCTGCATCTACTGAAATAATTATGTTATTTTTCTTATTTAACCTGTTGATGCGATGGATCACATTGATTGATTTTCAAATGTTGAACTAGCCTTGCATACTTGGGCTAAATCTCACTCGTGATCTATATAGTTCTATACATTACTAGTTTTGATTTGCTAATATCATTTTTTATAGCTGAATAATGTTTCATTGTATGGATATACCATATTTTGTTCATCCATTCATCAGCAGATGGACATTTGAGTTGTTTCCAATTTTGCTCTTATGAATAATGTTTCAGTGAGCATTTTGTGCAGGTTTTTATATGGACACAGACAGAGATTTTCAATTTTCTTGGGTATATACCTAGTGATGGAATTGCTGGATCATTTGGTAACTCAATATTTAATTTTTTGAGGAGGTGCTAGACTGTTTACAAAATAACTGCACCATTTTACAATCCAACCAGCAATGTATGAGAGTTCTAATTTCTTTCCATCCTTGTAAACATTTGTTATTATCAACCTTTTTTATTATAGCTATCCTAATTTGAAGTGGTATCTCATTGTAGTTTTGATTTGCATTTCCCTAATGGCTGATGGTTAAGCATTTTTTCACTGTCTTGATAGTATTCTTTAAATCAAAAGGTTTATCTACACTAATAAAAGAGAAACAAGGTAATTGGCGTACGACCACTACCCTTTTCACTGGCTGGTCAGGGCGATATGCAAATTAACTGCCAACTAAGATGGCGGTTAACCGCCAACTAAGATGGCGGTTAA